CTTGGGACACGGAATGCACAGTCCTCCCCCAATGCCAGGCCGGGGCCCTTGTTTGCTGTTCCCTCTACCAGGAATGCAGTCTCATAGACACCTCTGTTAGCGGAGATGGGTGGTGTAGGCTCTTGTCAAAGCTCAGGAATGCGGAGGCGAGACAGAGCACAGTGGGAAGCACAGTAACAGGTGCAATGGGGCGGGACATATCTGGTAGGAAGGATGGGTACCTCTCCAGACAAAATCTGGAAGACCGTGAAGTATTTATTGCCTGATGTTTTCCAGATGGGAAACCAATCTGATGCTCAGTAGAGAAGATTCTCCTGCAGAGCCTTCCTTGGGGGAATGGAGGTAGGCTAGACCACAGGGGCTGGGCAGGGCTTTGAGGTGTGAAGTATTGGGCTGCTTCCAAGGCTTGCCAAGGTGCTCTCCTGGGGGCCTTGTTTTCCTCAGGCTCCTCTCATGCACTTGTAGGGTAACTTTTTACCAAGCACCTCCACAGACACTTGCTCAGCACTGCAGTCTCTTGGTTCAGCGTCTGGAGGGTTCAGCAAGCCTGAACAGCATCGGCCCTAGATGATGACCGATGCCACACACATGATGACAGGAGTCACTGTGCCCTGACTTCCCCTGCAGGTCCCCTATTTCATAATGTGCATCATTATGGGACCTGATAGTCAAACTCACTCAAAGTTTTACCTTCAGTTTGTCAGAGGAGTGCCTTAGCTTTCACTGGTTCTTGGAGATGTCTGAATGTCCAATGCTTTTGCTTGGAGATTTGCTACCATCTCTTAAGTTCAAGTCATTCGTCACGATGCCAGCAAGCACTGAGGCAGACTCCAACTGGCGTGATCTTCCAATCTTCAAGCTGGGGATGAGGGAACACCTGGATGGTCCCCTATGCCGTGCCTGTGGTCATTTCCCCATCAGTGTCACCAGCAGGTGTCTTCCAGCAGGCCTCTGCGATGAGCTGAGCCTCTGGGAAATCCGGGTAGTGGGTTCACTGGTGGAGGAAGATGTCAGAGAGGCAGATGCTGCCACAGGCACTCTCACTCAGGCGAAAGCAGCTCAGACGTGGCTTCCTCTCACATGGACTCAAAAGGCTGACCTGATTGCTTTGAGCAGAGCCTCGCCGGCAGGAAAAGATCCAAGAGTTAACGTTCACACAAACTTCACAGAGGCGTTTCCTGTGTTACATGGACGTGCAGCAATTTGAAGACAAAGAGGCCTCGTGGCTGCCAAGAGCCCTCCCATGAAGAAAGGAAACATTTGGCTCTCCTGCGGACAGTGCTACAATCTCTGCATGTGGCTGTCACACACTACCGGGGACAGCAGAAGCGAGAGCCATGTCAGCACAGAAAATGCACTAACAGATAAGGCAGCTGCTGCACAGCTGGTTTTAGAAATGGTTTTAACACCGTAGCCTCTAGAGGTAACTAAAAATCCTTATTGCAACAAGTCTGAGATAGAATGGACTCAGCCATGAGGGTTTTTTTGCTTGACAGCACTGTTTATGGTTTATACTTCGTTGATATGTTTGTGCAAAAATGATTCCCCAGTGTCCAGCATGCTACCTGACACACTGTAGGCTCATTAAGTAGCAAGGTAGAATACTTAGTGGAATGAGTGAATGAAAATGAAGGATGCAGGGGTCATCCTTAGGACCATTTCCTTCTGGGGGCTTAGGCATCCTTAGGGAAACCTGGAAAGGGAGGTGACAAACAATGGTGGGAGGTGTGGAGGCCAGGGCACGTGTTTGTGTGAGAGCAGGTGATGGACTCAAGGTCCTTGCACCTTGCAGTGCCTGGCCTGGGGTCAGGGAACAACAGATAGGTCTGGGTTGGGCTGGGCTGTGATGGAGGAGATAAGAGGCACTGGGTGGGGATGGAGGTGGGGGAAGGACACAGAATGAGAACTGCTGACTGTCTGGAAGTGGGGATGGTGGGAGAGTGCTGAGGCTTCACTCCGCACTGGATGGAGGAAGGACTGGAAGAGTTGGGAGTTGGGCCTTGAAAGCGTGAGTAGGAGATTGCTGGATGAAAAAGTGATTCCTTTGAGTTCAGGAAAAACTCTAAGAAGTGTGACTGCCCAGCAGTGCAAAGCATTCAACAGGCAGCTTGAGGTCAGAAGACCTTGACTCATGCACTTCCAATTTCTAAGGGTCCTAGGGGCCAGGGAAAGGTTGAAATGAGGACCTGAGGCAGAGGTGTGGCCAGCAATGGGGAGGCTGAGTGAGAGTATAGAGGGTGCTGTCCCAGGTGTCTGGTTTGAACAGCCCGAGGGGCTGTGGGGGCAGGTCTGGGAACACCAGTGCAAGCTGGTTAAGGGCCAGGAGGTCTGGGACACTGAACTAGGGAGACTGGCTCTGGCTTTCCCTCCCTGGGAGACTTTGCTGTGCCCTCCGCCAAGAACTGGGATTGTGGACCACCAAGGCTTTGTTCCACATAAATCCTGTCCTCAACTTTTCATGGTTGGCGGCCCTTGAGCTTGGAGAATTGGATGGAGGACTGGTATAGACTGGGCTGAGAGTCTAGGAAAGTAGAAACTGGGTTGGCAGCTCTAGGGCACAGCTCCCCCGGCTGCTGTTGTACCACCACCAACTGGATGCCCAGGCAAGGGGATGCCCTGGATGTTACAGCCCTGCTAGGGGCTTCTGGTACTCAAGGGGCTAAGAGTAGCTCCACCTGGGATAGGAGTGCCTGCAGGCAGAGGGCAAGATCTAGCCTCCCCAGTTTAAGGGGAGCACTGTACCTGGTAGATGAGGTGACAGGTGGCAGAGGGGAGCTGGGTCTCTGTAAGAGAGCGTGGACCAGGGTTGATGCCATGCTAGGGGTTCTCAGTACTTTTCCACATACTTCTGTATTCTGTTCCAGCCCAGTGAGGCCCAGACTGTCTGGGTGGGGTGGGAAGGGCAGACTCTCCCACTGCCCCACCCTGCTTGAGTGTGGCCTTGGGGAGCATGTATGTGTGTGTGTGCACAGGGGCATAGCGTGTCCTCTGCCTTGACCCCACCGGGTTGTGGCCTTGCTGCTGGTTTCTGACTCCTCACACAAAAGAAAGGCACAGGGCAGCCCAGGTCTGGGTCACCTGCTGCGCCAGCATCAAGGAGGGTTCTTGTCCTGCTTTGCACTCCTTCGACCTCCTGATCCCCCTTACCCGGGGGCGCCTGCCCTCTGCCCTGAACTGTGCTCGCTTGGGGACCATGGAAGGGGCCTTTGGAAGGGATTCCAAGAACATACTTAATCCCAGATACAACACGTTGGAGAAGAAAGCAGAAACAATAAAGTTTGAGATGCTTATGGCACCCAGACCCACCTAGTTGCCCCCCCAACTGGGGATGGAGGAAAGCTCAAGGTTACTTCTGCCCAGTGAAGTTCAGGATTCAGGGTAACTGGTCACGGTTCAGAGAGGGTTGTTTTCTCCAGAGTCTGACCCACAGAATCCAGATTGCTGACTGTTGGAAATGCATAGTGCTAGCCATGAGCAAGCGTTGGCTATTAAACACTGCAGGAATGCAAACAGTCACAGGGATAGGATGCAGTCACAAGCACTTTTTACAAAAGTATGACAAGTTACTGCCCATCTTCAAAAAGTTAAGCACACCTTGTGAAAACAGGCGAAAATTCTGGGACAACTCATCAAAGAACCTCTCCGGGAGACTGACCACCCCACCAGCGTGGGAATGGCTTCACTGCTCACGCCTGGCCCTCAGAAACACAGAACAGAACCATACCACGTGCCCCACTTCTCCCACCAGCCAGGCCAAGGTAAACAAACAAGTCCCCACTACCTGCCGTCCTGCAGGGGAGTGGAAACTGCTCCTGTGGTTCTGGTGCCCACAAACCTGCTGCCTCTGCAGGAATTAAATACAGAGGGTACGCTTCTCGTTCAGCTCCACCCGACAGCCAGGGGAGGGCCTGACCTCAGCCAGGCACACACAGCCACGGTTCACCCACCCTGTGAGCAGGACCACTTGGCGTTCGTGGAGGGCGTGAGTCCGTGTGTGTGTGTGTGTGTGTAGGGGGGGCTGATAGGAAAGGCCCAAAGCAGGGCCACCACGTGGGCACTGACAACGAGGCCTCCTGAAAGGTGTGGCATTTTCTTTCGGATCAGAGAAGTGAACTCTGAGCCTGTGTTGCTTCTTAAAAAAAAGAGAGAGAGAGAAGAAGGAAAGAAAGGAAGTAAGAAAGAATAAAGAAAGTAAAGAAAAAAGAAAGAAAAAGGAAGAAAAGTGGGAAGGGAGGGAGGGAGGGAGAGAGAGAAAGAAAGAAAGAGAGAGAAAGAAAGAAAAGAAAGAGAGAAAAAGAAAGAAAGAAAGAAAGAAAGAAAGAAAGAAAGAAAGAAAGAAAGAAAGAAAGAAAGAAAGAAAGAAAGAAAGAAAGAAAGAAAGAAAGAAAGAAAGAAAAGAAAAGAAAAGAAAGAAAATCTCCCTAAACCACCACCCTTCTGCCTGACTCTGGAAGATGACGCGCGCCCCCTGGCGTGGGCGAAACGAAAGGCTGCGGGAGGCGCGCAGAACTCGCCGTGGTCCTCGCGCACCCCCCACCCCCGCCGGTCCCCTCGCCCCCCGGGCCGGTCCTCGCCCCCCGGGCCGGTCCCCGCTCCCCCCTGGCCTGTCCCCTCGCCCCCCGGGCCGGTCCCCGCGCCCCCCCCGGGCCTGTCCCCTCGCCCCCCAGGCCTGTCCCCTCGCCCCCCGGGCCTGTCCCCTCGCCCCCCGGGCCGGTCCCCGCGCCCCCCGGGCCGGTCACCGTGCCCGAGGGCTTCTCCGGAAGCCGCTGGGGGCTGCGTGGCCTGCCCAGCTCTCATCCTACGGGTTCTCGCCTTGCTGCTCACCTAGCCCGCGGCCGACGCCGTCCCCTGCCCGGTGTTGCAGGGATCGGGGTGGCCGTTCGCCCAGGCGGTGGCACCTGCGGGCACCCCGTTCGCCACCGCATCCAGGGCCTCGGGTACGCCGAGCACCTGCGTGCGGAGGACAGTGGCCCCCGCATTGACAGAGGTTGGAAGCGGGACAGAGGGGCTTTATTAGAAAGGCCAGGGGGCACCTATTTACACGGGGCCACGCGCGGACGTTAGAAAAAGCAGAGGCGGGGTGGAGGGGCGGGCTCAAACGAGCTCCACCTTGGCGTTGGGGTACACTGCCACCACGTCGTAGCCCTCGGGCGGCTTGACGCGCGCCTTCGCGTGGTTCTCGCAGTACAGCCGCTCGTCCAGGAAGAAGTAGCCGCGCTGCTTGAGGTTCAGGCCGCAGTCGCTGCACATGAAGCACTCGGGGTGGTAGAGCTTGTCCCGCGCCTTCACGATGGTGCCTCTGCGGGGGCGGAAGGGGCCAGCGTCGGGCGACCGATGCGAGAATCCGGGCGCTCCCACCCCGGGGCCCGAGGAGCTGGGAGCGGGCGTGTACTCACACGATCCCGTGGCCGCAGCGCGTGCACTCCGGCAGCCCCTGCAGGCCGCTCAGCGGGGCGCCCAGCTTGGCCGCCGGCTTGAGGTTCCGCGGTCCACCTGGCAGGGGCCGCTCCCCTGAAAACCCGAGCGCAGGTGGCGTGAGCAAGAGCAGACTCCATTTTTTTGGGATGTTGTTTGGGGGAAGCTGTGGTTAGTGAGGCTGAGACGAAGGCTTGGCAAACGCGGGGGGCGAGGGTAACCAGACCGCGCGGGCGTGGGAAGCGCCCTCGGAGGTCGAGGAGGGGCGCACGGCTACGAGGCGGGACGAGGGCTCGCTACGTGCGGAGGGACGTCGGGCATTGCACGGAGGGAATGGGCCGATAGGGTAGAGAGTATCCAGGAGAGGGGAGCTTACCGCCCTCGCCGGCTTCCAGCATGCCCTGCAGGTAGCGGAAGGAGCCGGACTGCTTGGGTTCCGCGGCCGTGGGCTCCGGTGGTTCCCGCAGCATCCGGTACACCTCCGAGCCCAGGTCGACTCTGCAGTCCCGGCCTTGCGGTGCGCCTCTGGCTGGGTCGGCGCTGCGCGAGGGGGAGACAGACAAGGGGGCAGGGTTGTGGCTCCAGCTTTCACTCAGCTGCCTTGGCTGACAGGGGCGGGGAGAGGGAGGTTGTGGAGAAGGGGGATGTTGGTTCTGTTGGGGCTTCAGAATGGAACCAGCTGAGCCACCGGGATCAGCTACCTGCAAAGTCTGCGGGGCCTTGGCAGTATGGAGACGGGCTCTAGGTGTGTGTCCTTACCTGCCCGGTGGAGACACGCGCAGGGCGCTCATCTGAGCAGGCAGTGCTGCCTCGCTGTTGGTGCCATTGTGAGGGCCTGGAAGGCGAGACGGCTGCCCAAACGGAGATCCCAGGCCTGGTCTGCCATCTTCCTGCCCACTCCCAGAGATGGAGGACCTTCTACTGCTGGCTGGACTGCCATCCTGTGAAATACAGGACTAAGGCTTGAGGAGTGCCTGGCCCCTGCCTATCCCCTGTCCACCTACCCCCACCCTGCTGTGCCAGGCCTTGGTGGAAGCTGGCTAGCTATCTCAGCAGTGGCATCTTGGGAATTCTGGTGCCCAGCCAGGGAAGGGAACTATGGGGAAGAGCTGAGCCTCAGGCCTGGTTTAGGCTCTGAAAAAGTTCAGAAGAGTCTGGAAAGTCAGACACAAAAACCAGAGTGCCTGCCACTCAACATACCTGCCTAGCCCTGTGGTGGTCCCCAGCATCAGCACCCGTGAGGGACAGGGCTGGCACAGGCCCCTTCCCAGCAGCCCCTTTAAGGCCAGTGTAGCTGCAGCCACATGTGTACCTGCCCACTGGAGGTAGACCTGCTCCCATGTGCCAGGGCTGGGCTGGGCACCAGGTGGCTCACTGTTGGAACACAAAAAATGGAATCCCTGTCCTTTAGCTAGGAATCATGGCTTTTTTGGGGGGAAGGCTGAGGCTCAGCTGTGCCCATCATGAATTCCCCTGCTAGCTGCTTCCTGCCTCCTGGGCCATGGAGAGTTGCCTTCTGTCAGGATGGCAGATGAGGGGCAGAGGCTGGCCCAGGGCTGGAGGCTTCCTGTCCGACTACCCTATGGCCAGCTTGGCGTCCAAGGCTGAAGCATGCTTTGACCATGCACACACACATCCCCAGCCCGTGAGGAGAGATGTGGTATTTCTTTGGGTGTGGGTCTGTGTGGGGACTGTGGATCTGTCCTTGCAGAATTCAGAGCTGAGCTGCCCTCAGCCTGGAGGCACACAGGCAGCAAGGTAAACAGGGCATGCGCATTGTCACAAGTATGTGTCAGGACACCCACAGGCATAGGGCAACACGTACACAGCAGCGAGGGCACCTGTACACACCTGGTCACATGGCAGTTACACACAGCTGCAGCCAGCGCTGGGCACCCCGGGGTGATCCATGGCAGCCTCTCTGGCCGAGACTGGGATGGTAACTGAAGGATCTTGATTTTAGGCTCAGGCCTGAGTCCAGGCCATAGGTATAGATCTTAGCGGGACAGGTGGCAGGGAGTCCGGGTGGACAGCAAGAGCCACTCACGCTTGTTGGGTCCTGCTTATACACGGCCAGCTGCCAGGCTAGGGCTTAAGTGAACCTGCAGGGCTCAGGCCTGACTCGCCCCTGTCTTCTTCTGCAGGGCAGGAGCTTGGAGAACAGGCCAAGGAGTCAGGCCCAACAGACAGAGGAGGGTCTTGCTGCCCAGACAGACCCCTATCAAAACAGCAGCAGCAGAAATACCCCTTCTTCATCCAGCCCAACAAGAACCCCCAGGAAACCTGAGCATTCTCACATGTGTGTCTGCTGGGCAGGCGGGCAGGCCAGGATGGCCTCTAATGGGGACCAGATGGGCTGTGGTCGGTGGGGGAAAGGGGAGGGGGAGAAGGAGCCTGGGGAACCAAGGCCTGGGAGCAGGGAGGCCCCCATTCGCCTTCACTCAGCAGGGTGAGGGAGTCCATGGCCAGTTGCTGCCCCTCCCAGGGCCACCCATGCAGCTGCTCTCGCTCTGACCTCTGTGCTCAGGATGCGGGTGGTGACCCGAGTTTTTGGGCGAGTCCCAGCTCCATCACTCATTCACCTCTCTCTCGCTTCATCTATGAATGGGGGAGTGTGGTGGTTCCTCTGTAATGAGTTCCTTGTGAGGATGAAGTAAGACAGCTGCACACAGAGCACTCAGCATCATGCCTGGCACGCAGCAAAATGCCACGGGAAGGACAGCTGCCATGGGACTTCCTGGGCAGTGGTGCCTCTCCTGCCATAGGCACCCCGCTCCGCAAGTACCAGCTGGCTACTGCTTTGGAAGCTGAAGCCTCCCAGGACTTTTCTGCAGAATGGGAATCTGCAGAGTTGGGAATTGGAATTTGACCTACATAGCTAAGGTCAAAATCAGGAAAGCCCAACTTGGAAGCAGGTGACCATGGAGACCCAGCTGTGCTAGTCTAGAGGACAGGTTAAGCATACTTCTAACAGGTCCCTGGTTCTCAGTGTAAATGCTGCCCACCCCACCCCACTCTAGGAAACCTTGGCTCATCCCTACCCTGCTCCCACTCTAGCTTGACCAAGTGTTGGCCCTGTCCTGCCCCGATGGGGAAGTGCGTCGGGGGCATCTTATGCTGTCTCAGGACTAACTGTGGCTTTCCCTTCCTCTGGTGGCTCCAGCTAGTGCCACTCCATCCCCCACCCACCCTGGTGTCCGGGAGGACAATGATCCCTGTGTACTAGTGGGAACACAGCACTGCAGGGGCGGGTCAGGGTGTTTTGGTCGCCACCCACGGAGCCCATGACCTTAGAAGTACAAACGGGGAGTAGTGGTTGCCCTGTTGCTTATGGAAAATCTTTTCCCCTCCAGCCTTAACAGCGGGCAGTATGTATCAGTTGGTTCTCTGAGGGCGCCAGTGAGGATGACATGGGGACACAGGGAGTTGCTCTACAGATCCCAGCCGCTAGGGCCCACTGGCCGAGGGCCTCTCTTGGAAGAGGGAGCACAGCTGAGCCCTCAGGCCAATGTGTTAACCATGCTGGCAGGGACCTCCCTGAGCAGTCTGGGCCTCTCACACAGGCACCGGAGGCCTAGCCTGTGCTGCTCCCTTCTGCCCAGCTCCTGGCAAGCCTGCTTGGCTTGTTCATGCCAGTATCTGCTCCCCTGATCCCTGAGGGTCCCAAGCACATGGGGCCATCAGAGCAACTTCTGAAACACAGATGTGGCCATGAACCCCTAAGGACTCAAGGAAACCACTGGCTTTTCTGTGGCCCTGCCCCACACCTCACACCAGTGCTTGCCCTTCCACCTGCCCCCAGGGACCGTTCTAATCTCAGCTCTCACCTCTGGGGGCCTTTGTGTGTGCTTCCTGAACACACTTCCTCTTTCACGACCACCATTTGACTGACTCTTCCTGGACCTTCAGGTCTTGGCTTGCACATTCCCTTCCTACAGGAAGCCTTCCCTGACCCCCTTGCTGAGTGTGGTGCCCAGTCAGGGCTCCATCTCTTCCAGGAGTACTCCTGGCACGTGGTAAGCAGCTGGACAGCAGGATGGGCACTGGGATGGACTGAGAGGGATGCAATGGAAGTGGTGATTTCTTGCTAGGCTGACATCATTGGACATTAGAGTGAATACTACCCAGGTGTTTAAGACCCACTCTACCCCCTGCCCGTCACAGGTGCCATCATCCAGAGCCCAAGACTATCCGGAGAAGGCAGAGCCTCCAGCAGGTGCTGTTCACTTGAGGAATGTGGACATGGTTCAGAGAAGATTTCTGCTTCTGGTGCTGTCCAACACAACCAAGGGTCATCATGAAGACACACCAAGCAGACAATTCTGTATCCAAGCTCAGTCCCTTTGCCCTGGTCATGCTGAGTGAGGTCAGGCCCAGCTGTGTCTGTACATACCTGTGTTTCGGCATCAATGTGGATCCTGTGTGCCAGAGCTTTGCTGTCGTCAGGGATACCTGGCCAGCTCCTGCCCTCAGGCCTGCAGCGGGAATTGGGATGGTCAGATTTGTCTGCCTACCATGCTCACCACACCCAGGAAGCAGAACCACATGGGGATGGGCTCTGGGTCTAGAGCAACACCCAGGATCAGAGAACCCCAGCCCAGAACTTTTCCTGGCACCATGATGGTGTCCACAGCAGCACAGCGCCATGAGATTCGATCTTCAACCCTCCTGGACAGGGCCGTATGTTTCCCTCCCTGCTGGCAGCTCCTGCCCTCTCTGGTCTGGTTCCTGGAGAGGGTGCAGCAGGAGCTTAGCAGCTTTTCCACTCTTCTCCACTTTCCAGGACCTGCAGAAGTGCAGCTCAAAAAAGTCCAGCCCATAGCAAGACGAGTCAGGCCTTACAAATGGGTCAGCTAGAGGGCCATCCACTCATCCCTCAGCCATTCCCAGTCTCCGGCCTGGGTCTGGATGAGGCCAGGCGTTCATCCTCCCTCAGGAGGTAGAATGGTGGCTCTATGGGGGCGGCCTCTTCTACTGCTGCTGCTGCCGAGGCTGCCGGCAGAGTCATCACCAATGTCTGCCCAGCCCAGATGGGAAACAGGCCATTAGGAAATTCCTGCTTCACCATAGAAACCAAAAGCCAAACAGCACTCAGGAGGGAGGGAAACACCATAAACCTGCCATGAGCAAGGCAGGCGGGCCTAGAGGCTATGGGCCTGGGCCCAGCCCTGCTGCTCAGTAGCTCTGGGAGAAGGCAGGCCAGGAGGGGACACACCCTTGCCTGGGAGGGCAGGGTGTGAAGTAAGACCAAAGGGGAACAGTGTCCCCCAACTGGCCCCAAGAGGTCCCCTGAGGCTTCTTGAGGTCTTACCGCTGGCCTCAAAGCTCACAGCTGCCTCTTTCCCTTTGTCAGCTGAATGATTTAGTAATCTGCCTATAAATACAGTCCACACCTCTGCCCATCCCATAGCCCTGCAGGGCTCTCCATGTCACAACCTTCCAGGGGTCTTTGGCATTAAATTCAGGACAACTTCAACCTCCACAGCCTCTGTCTCCAGCCCCTCAGCCAGGCTTGTGAGTAACTGACTGAGCTCACAGCCCTGACTTCCACCTACCTCCATCCCACCCCACCCTGCCCTGGAAGGGATCTGCGATACCCCTTGTGGCTCTCTGGCTAAAGAATTTCCTTGAAGCTCTCTACGGAAAAGCAGGGCACGCCTAATGTCTAAGGACCCGTGAGGGTGACCTAAGGCGTCAGAAGGGTTTCCTCGTATGTCACCTTTCACCATTTGAAACAGAATGAGAGCTGGAGGTGGGGCTGGGCAAAGGCATCCTGAGGGGCTTCTGGGTCAGCCTTGCTGCCAAGAAGGACCTGGACCTACGGAACACACCCAGGAAGTGTGAGTTAACTTGGATCGTGAGATTCCTGCTTTGGGCTCCAGGCAAGATAAGCCTCGCAGGGAAGCTGGGTCTTGACCACACTTCTCTGTGTGTACTGGGCAGGTGGTACAGCTGGTCCTAGTAAAGGCCCTGATATAGAAACAGAGCCACCCAGTCCAGCCAGAAAACCAGCTGTCTCCTGTACAGGGTCTGTGTTACAAGGGAGCCTAAACCCAGGATCTGGCACAACAGACAGGAGGGGACACTGGGTCAGAGGCCTCGTAGGTGGGATGGCATCCAGAGGGACCAGGTGGTCCCCATGTCTTGATCCCCCAGAGTGTGCATATGTGGGGATTGGCAAAGGGGTATCACAGTGGGCTGGAGAGTGTAAGGCAGGCCAGGGACCTCCCTGTCACCCAATGCCTGGATCACAAGATAGTCCCTGTTTGGGGGAAGACAAAGCTAGGGGTTAGAGTAAATCATTGGCTTCAGAACTGGGACCGGAGGCAGCTCTGCAAGCAGCAGATAATGTGCTGCTTGGCCAGGTGGCACTGGGACTGGAACAGTTCAGTGGACTCCCAGCTCCTTCCATGCCTGGCTTGGAACAAATGACCACAGAAGGAAGGACAGGGGACCTCCAGCACCCTCCCCTGACATCATTCTTCCTGGGAATCTCCTGACTCAGGCCCCTGCGACCCTCCCTCTTCCCGCTGCATTCCACTACCACTTGGGCTGCCCGTACACAGCAGCTCAGAGTCAAAGCCGGAGGTGAGTCAGGGCCTAGGAAGCCGGCCAAGTGGGGAGGCCTCCAAGGCCATTTGTGGGCACGCCATGCTGACAGTTCCCTTCTGCAGCCCGTATCTTGTCTGGGAGAAGGTGATGAACATGAGTTTGTTTTATGGGGAAGGAAATCCAGGTTCACCAACCTCGTCTGGGTACCTGAGCTCCCACAGTCTGGATGGGAACCAACTCTGGGGAACCCCCTGGCTGGGGAGACCTCATCTTGTGCCAAGGGGAGCACAAGTGTGTCCAGGCTTTGCAGCTGGGTCCACTCAGCACTAAGGGCACAGCCGGGGTCCTGACCCTGACTCAAATGGGGGATCCCTCCTAAGCCTTCCCACCCTGCCAGCTCTAATGCCCGGTTAGCTGTGTTGTGGTTTGGCGAGGCTGCGCCCACATACTTCCACAGGGGATCGTGGAAAGTCCCTGTTAGCAGTGAACGTGGCAGAGCAGCTGTATCTGCCTTCTTTGGATCCAAGCAGGAGAGCCTTTTCAGCCCAGACAAGGCTGACTGCCTAGACTCTGGAGCCAGGGAGGGCTGTGGGATCCTCCAGGTGGACCCTCTACCCTAGCACCAACTATGGGGCACAGATGGGGTTTGGTACCCCTCCCCTGTGCTTCCCTTCATGATGGGCTGCATGGCAGTTCACAGACCATGGTAGGAAGCCCATCCCCAAACCAGGCTTTACCAGGTAGGACACAGGCCATGGCAGGTGCTGCTGAGACCAGGGCACCTGTGAGTTGCAGAAATGGTCGTAGCCAAAGGAAGGGACTAGTTTGTGGGTTAGAGCCCTGAGGCCACACTCTGCTCCCCGCGCTCTCACTGCATGACTTAATCTAGCCTCTCAGCTTTCTGAGCCCTATTTGTTGCACCTCAAAACTAGGGATGATGTTGGGTTTTACCCAGGTCAGTTGGCTTAAGGCTTGCATGGGAGTTTGGGAGAGAACTTGCTTTGAATTGGTCATCAAGATGGTCGCTTGGGGAGAGGGAAAGGACTGAAACCAACCAACCCTACAGGGTACTGAAGGTCTTCCTCCAGCTGCCTTCAATTCCTGCCCTCAGAGCCCAACACATTCCCACTGTTGGGTTCAAAGGGGGCTTTCTTTTTGAAGCTGTCTCCAGCTGTAAACAGTGCCCACCAGGCCCCTCTGAAACCACTCCTCCTTGGAATGGATGGTACCTGCATGCGGTAAGCACAGCACACCTGGCCTCCTGCTGCCCCATTCCAATGGCCCAGCCTGCCCCGTGCACCATACCTGCTCACAGAGAGAGTGAGGTGATCGTAGCAGCCCTTGATGCGGTTCTGTGCCTCCAAGTGTGTCATCAATTCAGTGCTCTCACCATTGATGGCCTGGATCAGGTCTCCTGGACACAGGGCAGCCAATGCAGCCTTGCTGCCAGCATGCACCTATGGGTGGGGAAGCCAGATGGCTGGGCACAGTCATGTGGCCCGCTGTAGGTTCTGCCCTCCACCCCCACCACCCTGACAACCTGGCCAGTGTGGCCCTATCACCAGCATGACCTATGTATGCACAAGCTGAAAGGCTGGCTGAGATCCCCCTGTGGTTTTATGGCAGCTGTTACTCCAAACACCCCCCGCCCCCAACTTTAGCAGCTGGAGTCCTAGTGGAGTGTGAGGACCTGTGAGAGAGATGTCATTCTTGCAGGTCACATATGTGCCAAAGACATGCAAGGGACGCACAGACATACATGCTCATAGGAACAGAGCATGGCCATGTCACTGATGCCTTACATGTTAGTGCCCCACCCAGCCAGGCTGCACTGCAGTGCCTTCACCGCAGTGCCTTCACCTAACACGCACACCCTTGGTGCCCTTGCATCTGTAGTGTCTGATCTCACCTCTCGGCCTTAGCCAATCTTCCCCTCCTTCTACCCACACTCTGTTCAGCCCTTCCTTATGTCTTCAGATACTCCTGGGTACCAAGTCCCTGCCACCTCCACACTTTTGCAAATGCTCTACCCTCTGCCTGCAACACTCTCCTTTGATGCCAAGCCTGACATTTTAGCTTGCTTCTTTTCATCCTTCAGATCTCAGCATAGAGCTCCCTTCCTCTGGGCTTGGCTCTCACAGTACCTGCAAGTCCCCTATGGAGCTAATGCCCCATTCCAATTACAATGCAAAGATTTGAGCATCACCCTCCAACACATACCCAGCAAGTCCAAAGCTCTCATTCCAGCTGCGGGGTCATGATTCCTCCCCCACTTTCCCTGCTTGCCAGGCAATGACACCAGCCGTATCATCAGTGACCCCATAGGGCCACATACTGTCTGGGTCTGGAGGGTTTGGATTAGGGCATGTGACAAAGGCCACGTACAATGGATGGAGACAGACTCACAGAAAGAGTGAGTAAGCAACCCAGAGGGATCTGGAAGACACCCTTCACCCTCTCCTTGCCGAGGAGCAGGCCAGAGGTATCCTTGGGTCTTCCCCAGTCTCTCCCCCCAGTGCCAAGCAATAGCACTATTCATGGGAGTGGGTTCCCACAAGCCCAGCTAGGCTTAGCCCAGCCAACTCCCAGTAACAAGTGGTCAAAGCTATGGCACTGGCCTTGCCCAGATCAACTTTTCCTGAAACAGGCTTCTTCAAGGAATGCTCTTCTTCAGAAGGTGACACCCTCAGCCGGCTGGCCTACTTGCCATGTGTGTGCGCTTGCAGGGCCTGGGCACCTGTACCAGCCTGTTCTCCTGGCACCCTAACCTCTCCCCTCAGGGTCCTGCTCCAGTCCCCTTTCCTTTCAAGGGTACCTGCTCCATGCCAGAACCTCAGCCCTAAACCCCAGGTGAGTTCCCAGCCAACTGCCAATCACTGGGCGAGGCAGAGGCCGTTCTGTTCCTATTGTACAGATGAAGAAAGAGTCTGGGGCTGGCGCCCTGCCCCAATCCTCACACTGGAGGAGTCTTCATCTTCAGGGGGTACAGGATGACTCAGCCAGCACAAGGGGTGTATTCAGGCCCCTGTGGGCGGAGGAAGTTCTTGAAAGCAGGGGTGGCTGGGTTGCTGCCAGCTCCGCTTAGCTTGGAGAGTTCTGGTCAGAGAGGGCATGAGGCCAGGAAATGGTGACTCTCCCAGCCACCCTTGCAGGCATTGTCTTCATCCTCACAGCCAGCCCCGTTTCCTAGATGAAGAACCTGAAGTCCAGAGAAGCACATGAGGACACGGACTTGAGAAACAGCTGAGTCGGGATTTCGTTCCCAGTCAAGGGATCCCACATCCAAACCTATGCTCAGCACCCCTAGGCTCTGTCTGCACACAGGGAGAGGAGACAGTCCCGTGGGGAGTGAGCACTTCAGGGAGCAGGCCCAGCATGCCCTTGGGGCAGAGCGCAGAGGGATGGTGCTGTGGCTGCAATGTGGTTAGAGAAGACGCAGGGGCCAGATCCTAAAAGACTTTTTCCACTGCGTGACTGGGAACCATGGAAGGGAAATGACAGGATGGAGCTGAGTTCAGGCCAGTCCCTCATGCTGTGGGGTGCAGGATAAACTGATGGGAGGGAGGCGGGAGCAGCGAGGTCAGGCAGGAGGCACCTGCAGTGGCTGCATTCCAGCCCAGCCCCACCCAGCCCAGACACTGTGGTGGGCAGGGAGTCGCAGTCCCAGTCTGACACCATAGCATCCTGTGCAGTCACAGCAAATGCCACACAGGCATGGATTGTTTCTCTGGGTGCACAGCCTTAACCCCTCTGTGTCTGTGTTGTCCCCAGTCTCAGAGGGAATCCCTCAAAGTTGCCATGGGATGACCTGCAACAGTCAGGGCACTGGCAGCCCCTACAGGAAGTTGGGCACATAGTGTGGTATGGCTCCTTCTAAGGACTGGATACTGAAGGGCTGGTACCAGAAGCTAGTAGGGTGAGACCTGGCCTGCAGTGGGTGCTCGTCAGAGCCAGCCATCACTATGCTTACTCTGTGGGGAAGGAGTCATGGACAATGTGTCTGGGGATCCCCTGGCCTTCAGGGGCTGAGCTTGCCCTGTGGTCTCCCCCTGGCTCCAGGCAGCCACCTTTTCCCTGGTTCCCAAAGGTCCTGGGATTCTGGGAGAGGGGTTGGGAGCACAGGAAGGATGGATCCTGTCCCCCGTCCCCATACACTCCCTTGGACCCTAGTCCCTGTAGGTACCTGCTGGGCAAGCTGTGGCCTGTGCCTCCCTGGTCCCGTAAATCTCCCCAGATCCCACCCAAACCTGGGCTTAGCCATCCTGGCTCCTTGGGTGTGAACTGCAGTCACGTGACTTTCGGGAACTACAAAGGGGGCTCTTCTTGGCAAATCCTCCTCCACACTGCCTGCGTGCCAGGCGACTGCAAACAAGGCCCCTGCTGCCTGCCGCTGCGGCGGCCCTTCCTCGGCCGGCAGACAGCCGCAGTGGCCGCGTGGGCAACAGATGTCTCAGCTCGCTGCCGCCTGCGGCCGTCAGCCGCTGCAGCCCAGCCTGTCAGCAGCCTCACGCCCAGGGTGCCTGGCCTGCTGGCCAGCCTAGCACCCCAGGTGGTGGTCGCGGAACACACACAGACAGACCCAGACACTTGTGCAGGGTGTGTGCATCACACACACACAGAACCAGCCGGCTGGGGAATCCCATGAGGACCAGGCACATACAAGGCTCCCGGATGTATGGCAGGCCCACCACCCAGGCCCTGGAGACCTGGCTCTGGAGGCAGTCGTGAGACGCTCCGAGGACAGCTGGGCCTGCCTATCACCCGGGCCCCCAGAAAGAGTCCAGAATTCCACATTCCACTCGGTGCCCGTCCCATCCCAAAAGTTGCACAGAAGTCTCCCAGGCCCTGAGCAGAGGGGCAGCAGGGTGGGGCAAGGTGGTTTTCAGGTCCCCTGACACGGGTCCCCAGGGGTCCAGGGCCTGGGGGGTGGAGAAGCAGGGTGGAGGGGGTCAGGGGATGACCCTCCAGTGGCACCAGGTCATGGGCTCTGCCCCTCCCAAGGAGGAATCTCCCAGGGCAGGGCCTCTTTGTCCCCTAGGCTGAGGGACGCTCCCAGGCAGGACACATGCCCCTCTGCTGCTCTAGAAAAAGGGACCAGGCCCTATGTCCCGAAGATCCCTTCTCTGCTTCTGTCCTCAAACAACCCCCACCCCTCTAGACTCGTGTCCCCTGCGCTTCCTGCTCTGTCCCAAGACAGACACCCTGGGGGGTGATGCCCTCGCTGCTCTTGGCCTTGGGTGGTCTGTCCCAAGGGGAGGGTCTCAGGCTCAGTGAGAAGTCACCCTGGCCAGAGCGTCCTCCTGGCCACTTCCCCTCAGTGTGAATGAGCTTAGGGCAGAGACTGAAGCCTGTGTCCCGGGGAGTGGCCGGACCTTTCTCTTCTGAACTCACACAGCACCCAGCCCTCTCACCCCGGGCCACCCAGAGCTGCTGTCAGGGCCTTGGCCTGGGGGCGAGGCAGCTTCCAGTCATTTTGCCCCAAATCTTCAGGGCAGGGTTGGCTCTGAGGCATCTCTGGGACTCTGTAGGGCTGCCCTGCAGACCACCCCGACCCACAGTGACTCCCCGACCCCCGGAGGGCGGCCAGCAGGCGTCTGGCATGCGAATCGGGGCAATTCGCCGGAGATGGGCTAGGACCAGACCGGACTGGACGGCACGGGCCCGGCTGGCAGGGAGGCGGGGAGGGGGCGGCGGGCCCGCGTGGCGCTGCCCTGCCCGCAGGCCGCCGCCACCGCACACACGGCTCACTCGGGACCGGCCCTCGAGGTTTTCAAGCCTCGGACACTTCGGGGATCTGGGTCCCCCATGGCCGGCGAAGACCCCAGTCTCAGAGCCCGGACCGCCCCCCACCGTTACAGCGGCTGCAGGACTCACCCGCGAGATGGTGAGGGGCGCGCTGAAGTCCCGGCCGCCCACCAGGCGGAAGCCCCAGGGCGAAGGGCCGCGGAGGGTCACCGAGTGGGGCATCGCGGGCCGGAGCAGCCGCCGGAGCAGCCGCCGGAGCTGGACACTGAGGAGCCGCCGCCGCCGCCCGGACGCCGCGCCCCGCCCCCGCCGCCCGGCCCTGGCCCCCGCCGCCCGGCCCCCGCCCCGCGCCCTGCGCGCCGGGATTGGCCCTGCAGCCGCCCGACCCTCCCACCCCGGGGGGCTTCGCGGGCCCGCCCCCTCAGCCCGGCCTCCGCAGCTCGGCCCACGACCTGGTTCTCCGAGCCCCACTCCCCGCCCCCGACCCCGAATAGTGGCGTCCCCGACGTCCCGGGTCCCGCCCGGACCTCGGATCTGCAGGCCGCGGGACCCGAGCCCGGTTGCGGGAGCACGCCCCCTCCCTTCCCCGCACAGGCCCTTTGAAGTTGCTTCTGCCGGGCCGCGCCCAGCCAGAGGAGGGCTGGGGAGCGAAGGGGGCGGCTCCGAGGGGGATGGGGCCCGCGCCCGGCTCGGCTCCCAAGCCTCCTCCAGGTCCTGCGGACCCAGCCTTCTGCGAGGGAAGCCCTCGGAACCGGTCCCGGGGACCCTGGGCTTGAGCAGACCTGGGACATGACAGAAAGACGCCCAAGCAAGTTTGGGGAGGCCAGGAAGGCAGCCTGGGAGAGGGGGCCCCAGAGCTGAGTGTAGGAGGGAGGGGTTTAGCTTTCCAGGTGTCCCTGTTTTCTCAGGGGGACACCCAGGCCTTCTCATGCTGCCCGCACCATCCAAGCTGTCTCTTCGGTCTGCACAGCCGCCTCGCCTCTGCAGGAAGCAAGCGTGGCTGAGGGCAGTGACTGTGGGGTGGAGGAGGTGGAAACGGCAGTACCTTTCTCAGAGCTCTCTTCTCCACCTCGCCAGCCTCCGTTGTCCTCCAGGGATGCCATGCTTGGCCGAGGTCCCACTCATTGGCTGTCTGGAGACTTGGCGCGGCTAAATCCAGCGAACCCGTTTGCACGCTGTTGTAGGCCTTGAGGTCCTAGTTCAGCTGTGTTTCTCCATGATTTCGTGTCCTCTCTTGTCCAAGCTCTGGAAAGGGCTCTGCTGCTCTGGGGGGCTGAGATAAGTCCCTGGGTTTTCTACCAGGCATGGAGGGGTACAACTTGACTGGCACAAAGCTAGGACAGTCCAACGAAGGGAGCCTTTCACCACGGAGTGTGGAAGCCTTACTGGGAGATGAGGCATTGCACTGCGCTGAGCTGGGAGAGAGACACCAATAAAGGGCTGTGTGCATTAGGGGTGTGTGGGGGAGTGCTCTGTGTATGAGGGGGTGTCAGGACCTGCAGAGCAGCAGCCACGGAGCCCTCAGCACTGTGGTAGGGGATGGTTTTCTTGCTCAGCCCCATGCATGCAATCTTGGGTCCAGAAAGACAGAGCTGGAAGGCCTGTGGGAGAGGGTCCCTCTATGGCCCGCAGACCAGAAGTCCTGCAGGACCTTGACCCCACTAAATGGGGGCCACCATCACTTGTCACTGGCTTCCCTGGTTTGAGACCCTCATCTGAGTCAAGAGCCGCAGTACAGACCCTTGCTAGGGGAGGGGGCTTTTCGGGGTCTGAGGACTTCCACCCCAAGCTTCTCTTAGTGAATTCCTGAATCCCCTTCTCAGACCCCCTTCTCCCTTGCTACTTCCAGGCAGGTAACTGGCCAGGAGACTGCCTCCCCTCCCTCACCCTCCTCCTGTACATTCTGAAATGCTCTCCTTGCCCGTTTGCTTCTGTCCAGGCTGGGGGAACATATCACTCCCTTGCAACAGAGGTTCTACCAAGTAGGATCTCCCTGCCTGGCAGTACAGCCACACTCAGAAGCTGCTCCCACTACGGGCTGGGCCGGGGTTGTGGGGGAAGAGCCCTGAGACATGTACAGAATGCCCAGGCAGTGCCTGCTGCCCGCTGCGTGGGCTCAGGTGGGGCCTCTCTGGAAAGAGGTCTGGGCTGGACTGTGCTCCTGCAGCCTGCTGGAGACATTGGGGTGCATGAAATGAGCATTATACCCTGCAGCAGATACCTGCCTTCCTCCTTCACTTAACAAACATGCATTGAGCACTGTCCATGTACCAAGGCCCGTGCCTGCCCATAGCTGGGCCGAGGCATCGTGAGGGCGGGGACTGTGTCTATTTTCATTATGTTTCCCTGGCACCTGGCAGAGAAGCTGGCACCCACAAGGTATTCACAAACATGTGCTAGGAACAACATTATCACTGTTTGGGGAATCATTATCTTAGCTCACCCCTTGGCCAAGACCCAGAGAGAGGGAGGGATAGGCACGAGGGAGGTTTAACCGGGGTAAAGGCTTTTGCTCCCACTGTTTTGGAGGCCATGCCTGGGAACCTCGTCCTTCAAGGGGAACCCCAAGTGGCTCAGGGCACGATGCCCAGGCAGCCATGTGCAGCTAGATCTGCCCAAGGTCAGGAGAAACCACAGCACTCTTTCCTCAATGGGCAAGCAGGGCTGGCAGGCTCCAGCAGGAACAGACACTCTTGGGAGATGCCCTTGGGCCTGAGCCTAGAGCGAGGGAGGGAGAAGGAAGGGGTGGGGCAAGAACAAGCTCAGGCTGCCAGGGAGGTCAGCCCAAAGGACAGCCAAGGAGATGGCCCCAAGTCGGAAGCAGTCTCGGTTTAAAAGGGGTGAGCTTGCACGAGAGAGAGGGTGCCTTTTTGTGAGACAGTGGGGCTGGCCAGACAGCTCGGACGCTGAACTGTTGCACCCTGGCCCCGGGTCGCAGCCTACCGAGTGGCATCTGCCCACTCAGGCTCAGCTTCCTGAAGGCTGGCACGTTCCTCCTTCAAGGACCAACTCCTTTTTGCCGGCCAACAGCCCAGATTCCAGAGGGATCTGAGGCATCGATTCAATTCTTCTTGGAATGCCCCATCCACAGCACTGACCACTCCAGGGCCCCGGGGAGCAGTCAGAGGCCAGAACTCATGAAGCCTTTACTTCCATATGGTCTGTCTGACCTGGCGCCAGGCTCCATGGCCCCTGTCTCCCCAGGGGTCTGCTCTCTAGGCTGGTTGAGAAGTTGAGAAGCCTGAGTGACTGCATGGGAGTGAGGATAGCGGGCCCTGGAAGGGCACAGCTGTGTGGGTACCTCTTGCAGGATTAAGCTGGGACCTTATAGGGCTGCTGCTGTGGTACAGTGGGTGCAGAAGCTGCCTGCAATGCCTGCATCTCATATGCTGGTTTAAGTTCCAACTGTTCCAGTCCCATTCAACTCCTTGCTAACATGCCTAGGAAAAATAGAAAAAGATGGTCCTAGTTCTTGGGCCACTGCACTCGTATGGGAGACCTGGATGAAATTCCTGATTCCTGGCATCAGCCTGGCTCAACCCTGGCTATTGTGACTGTCTAGGAAGATCAGTTAGTAGATGGAAGATTTCTCTCTGTCTCCGTCTTTTCCTCTCCATAACATTGATTTGCAAAGAAATAAATATATTTTTAAAAATTAACTTGAGCCTTATGGTGAAAGGGAGCCAGTGCAGGCCTTAGGAGAATCTGGGGGGCTCTGGTAGGGCTGGAGGCAACCAGGGGGCATAGGCATCACTCGGCAGCAGGGAGGAAGGTGCGGGGCCCGTGAAGCAGGGTGGGCCCTGATGCCCAGCATATCCTCTGAGGACAGGACCCAGTCCAGGAAGCAACAAAGCTGGTCTTTGAGCTGTGTTTGCTTCTACAGAGCACACATGGGAGGGTGTGACCGAGGGAGTTCCCCAGCTCCAGCTTGGTGCCATTCAATCCCTGAACAAACACCAAGCGTCCTGGGTCCAGGCTAGACCTGGGCAGCTGGACTTGGAGGTGTGCTGGGGACTTCCCCACTCTGCCAGAGGGCAGAGAGGGTGGACGCTCTGGAAATCAGTCTCTGAGGTCTAAACAGGGACAAACCAGGACCAGGTTCCAGGTGCCCCCTGCCCAAAGCAGAAGCTATTATGTTCAGGAAACTGAGCCTGGGGGAGGGTGAGTGATGGCCAGAGCTAACTGGTAGGTGGGCGGTTCAAAGCCCGCCTTGCTTGCCTTTGTGCCATGCCCCTTGTATGGCAGCCTGGGTGTGTCTCGGCCAGTGGCACCCCTGGCAGACCTGCTCCGCCTCTATTCTCACTGAGAAAAGCAGACCATTCTGCAACCCGCCAAAGGGGCTGCCAGGTGACAGGGCGGGGGCAGGTTTACCCAGCTGGGCCCAGGGTAGGCCTCAGCCCTGAGGCCTGGGAGTAGAAGGGTGTTGGAAGGTTTGGCTTCTTGCACAGAGGGAGGCAGCAGACAGGTGAGAGTGCCAGAGGCAGCATGGCCCAGCCCAGGTGGGGAAGCGACAGGACAGGCCGTCAGCAGAAGCAGTGATGTTCATGTCTCAGAGGATTGTGCAACTGGGGCCTCAGGAAGGCAGCTGCCAAAGCACCCAGCCTCACCCATGCTGCAAGGAGACCCCTCTCCTGAGGCTGCAGGGGGCAGACAACCCTAGCCCTGAAAGTTCCCATTCAACCTATGGCCCCAACTGGAGAACTCACCCTGGGCCTCTCTGCTGCCCAGCTTCCCTAAGCACCTAGAGGCATCCACGCTGGTTCCTGGGAGGAGAAGGCATCTGCCTCTAGGAATCAGCCTCTCTGAGAGCAGCAGAAGGATCGGGGAGCAACTGGATGGTGTCTGGATCGTGGGTCTCGGACACTCTTGGCCATGGCCTGGCCATCAGCGTGCTTGGACAAAAGCAAGGGTGCAGGAACTCCATAGCCAGGGGAGAGAGAGAATACCACTGTGAGGCGCAGCTAAGTCTGCCTGTGAGGCACAGGGATTACAAGGAGGAAGCAGCCACATGCCAGGCACAGCAGTGCAGGTGCTGTGGCTCCTCACTGCACCCTGCCATTCGATGGCTGGCTAGGGCCTGGACCCCTGTGACACACGATGTCTGACCAGGACAGCCTGGTCTCTGACCTAAAATGCATCCTCCTCTCCCCAACCAATGGAGTGGCCATCCGGGTCTGCTTAAAGGACTGCAGAGGACCAGGCCACCCGCACCTCTATGTGTCAGGCGCTGTTAGAGGCCAGAGTGTTGGATAATGAAATCATTGTATTGCATGTCTGAAATGTAGGGTTCTGTTT